GACAAAGTTCTTTGTTGTATGTTTTTGTTCTCTTTTTTGGCCTTGACCCTGCACAAAACACAATAGTTGTTTACTCCGTACTGAGGAACTAACCAATAGAAACGTGCTGGTTACGTAATTCATGCATAACGTATGAACGCAAAACAAAAGATTGTGCAGGGTCGTGGACCTTCTAACGTAAATCTTGGCATCTTTGTTTGCTCCTTTGATGTTTGCCGGGCTTCATAACCAGTCACCCCCATTAACTATGCTCACACCTTGCACCGAAGGTCAAACACCTTCTTGAGTCTCAAAAACAAAAAACACTTCGAAATTTCTTCGCTTCATGAACAAAGTCGTCTATATTTTAGAGTATTTGAGTATTATGTAGTCACATTGAAAGGATGATTACGTGAATTACTAGTTCAATAAAGTTTAACTCAAGTTCCTACGAGCGGGGCACCTGCAGTCCTATTTCAGCTAAGATACCGGTTTGGTTTTAGCCCCAGCACTTCAGTCCGGTTCCACAACACAGCTCGCCTTTGTAACGCTGGCTCAACTATGTGGTTAAAACTGGATTTGTTTAGTACTGATTTTGCTATTTTCTTGCTACCTTGTCTGGAAACTAAAGCAGTTACTGGACTTTTTTAAAATGTAGGGACGTTGATAACGTCGTTAAGTGTGAAAACAATGGGTTAGGAGTGAAAAATTAAGTAGAACTGAGAGTTGTTGAGACGATCAACTCAGCGATTGTTGTATCAAACGACCCACTATGGCTCAAAACAAACCTAACTGAGCAAACTAAACTATATTTATTGGCACGAAAGCTATATAGCCGACTTAGTTTTTCTTATAGAAACAGTCAACGTTTTCTGCCTTGTTTTTTTCGGAAAGTTCCAAAAAGTGATTGCCCCATTGTTCGGCTACGATAAGGAAATATTTGCGTCGCAGTTTGACTGTGATTAATGTTGACGCGCGTGTACTCATTAGTACCAACTCAAGTCTTGGAAAACACTCTGTGTGGTGCGTTCAGGGTCAAGAAATTTAAAAACGTGTCAAATATCACTACCTTACAAAGTATATTAAACACTGCGTTTTTTTTTCAAAGACCAAAGCCACTTTCAGACACGGCTGTAACATTCACTAAAAAGCCATCATTTTTTCCTCGGGAGAAGCATTTATGTGAACGGTCAAACCCGGCTCTGTAGGGGAGGGGCGGGCGGGGGGGGGGGGCATTTGACCACTATCTTGACCTGGTGGGACGGGAATTTAAACAGGTCCGTTTTAAAAAGTTCAAATACTTCGGGGTGGATGTTGAAGTTTCGAATTGATCGGCGCATAACCAGTCGAGTTTAAATAGTCGAGTCATGCCCTGACTTTGAATGTGAAAATCATAGCTATAAGTTCTATCCTAAAAAGTTGTAACCTGTCAACCGATGACGAGTTGGATATTCGCTAATGCAAGGAAGTGGTTTTGAAGGCCAACTTCAAAGGCCAAAGCGAAACCAAATTAACTGAGAACAGACCTGCTGAGAATGTTAGACGCCGCTTGCAGCGGACACCGAACCCCAATACAAAGCGGGAAAGGGCTGTCTTGGTCTACTTTCTTGGGTAGGCTCTATTCATGCTTGTACCAGAAGATGTTTTTTCCTCATATACTGATTATGTGAAAATCGAGAAACGAGGAAATCTTTTATGAAGCCAAAGTGATGGTAAACTGAGGGTTGTTGAGACAATCTGTGACTGGCAAAATGAACCAATCAGCGAATGTGCTTAGTGGCTTTGTCTTTGAACCAAACGACTCAGTTTAGCTCAGTATATGGCTCAAACCTAACTTAACAGCGTATAAATACAGCATCAGATTTAGCACGAAAGGTATCACGGGACGAAAAATTGGATTTACGACACTTTTGACACGCGTCAAACGCACTCGAGCAATCTTACGAACGTGTATTGCAGCCGCGTTTGGCGGTCTCAGCATCTGTGCCATGCAATTCTACGCCATGACTGGCGTGTACGGCGTGTTTTCGGATGCACGAAGCGTACCTGCTTGGCCGTGGTGGGCGTTCCAAACGACCTTTCGAGTGACTGAGATTTGCATGGTAGCAATTCTCTGCTACGCTGTAAATGACAGAGGAGTGGATGCGAAGAAAGGTGAAATAGCACCTTCAAGTATTGTCTCAGAGACGCAATTTAAAGCCAACGTGGTTGAAATGAGTGAACAAGTATAATTGGCAAGAAGGTGAACCTAAAAACGTTATTTTAACTGTTGGACATTTTCGCTAGATCTGTATATTTAACAAACAGGGATCCCCACCCTCACCCTTTCATCTCCTGATCAAAGTTGGCGCGTTAAACTGTAACCAACAGGAAACCGAACCAGCCTTGCCCTCGGTGAGATCTTGAAAGGGGTGGGGGGTGGGTGAGTGAAGAATCTAGACATTTTTCTTTCAAGAAGTGCCCACTACGAAGTGTCGCACAAAAGAGAAAATGTTGCTGGAAAAAACTGGCCACGCTTTCCGAATTTTCCAAGCTTTCTTTTCAAAATAAGTGTAAGTACAAATACTCTACGTTACGAAGAATTTTTCTTATGTCCAAAAATACTCATTTAAATATGAAAGGGTTTGCATTTTCCCTCATTTGGAAGGGGATTTAGCCATGTTAAAATGGCCTATCGCTATTGTTGTGATTATGAAGGAAACATTGGGGTTCAAGAATTGTTATTGATAACAAACGAGGTCACCAACCCATGGCAAGGAAAGTAAACTGCTTTTAAAATTTAATTACGAGCGTAACTGAACTAAAAAGATGGCGTGTACCGAATCTAAGGTGTGAACTAGTTAACGCTTCCACAATTGATAGTGTAACTTGACGGTTTTAAACAGCAAGGTCCACTCGGCGTGACGCCTTACTTGCCCAGCCCGCACACCAAGCCCTGAGATCTCTAGTTCTGGAAGTTATAGCTTTCTCCGCAGTATATACGGTTAAGGAAATACTTTTTTCCAGAATCCCTTAATTCGCCTGGCGACCGTGACTCGCCGTAAACCTTATGTCGTGGCATTTTCTTCCTTAGAAATTGTAAAACTGACGTTTTCGAGACTGATAAACCGAATTTATTGGAGCCACTTTACAGTGTAAATTGATTAACTATAGTTAATAATCTTCGTTAAGTGAATGAAATACAGTAAAAACTACCTCACGTCCCTAACGGCTTAGTTTCTTAACTTCTAAAATATATTATATTTTGTTGGTAAAAACCGTGGAAAAAGTCATTTTAATTGACACAGCAAAAACCCAACCACCCCACACCTTCTGCCTCTCGACCCCATCATCTGCCTCCGCTCACAAGTCCCTCGTGGTCATGCGCAGTAGAGCTCTTGAGTCGAGACCTTCTTCCGACGAGTCACGCAGTGGTCACCAGTGTTTAAACTTCAAGCGTAGACGCTTTACCCGTGTCTAGCAGACCTGGCGAAGACGTCAATCGAAAACTGGGGACATCGAAAGGACAATTTCGACACCGTGGTATAGTATACGTTGTAAATTTGTGAGCAACAAGGTTGAAGTTGTAGTTGCCTCGATGAGAATTTCAAATCGCTCAAAGGCCGGAAGTACATGAACGTATGCGGAAATCGACCGAAATTTACAGAATTACTGCTTTAATATACCATGGTTACAAAGTATGAATTACTTGAAGAAGCCAATGTAAAACTACTAAGCAATTTGGGAGAGGAAGTAGAAATGAAGACCTTTAAAACGAATGTTCCCCCGACGTCAGAGTGTGACAAAGATCAAGTGCTGATCATCAAAATTCTTTGCCTCGGAGACTATACCGGGGGAGTGGGTAGAAAAGGGGTGCTTATCAAAGATTATCTGCAAGTCACACCACCGGTACCGACCAAACAGCCTCCAGTACTCGGTTGCGACTTTTACTTAAAAACAGTAAAATGGAAAAAAGGAGAAGATCACGATCCAATTACCATCACACTACAATTTTGGGAAACGGGGGAACAAGAGCGCCTCTCACGCATGACAAATGTTTATTATAGGAACAGTCACGGGGCTTTAGTATTCTGGGGTCCCGGCAATTCATCCTCTCTGGATGGAGCTCCGAAATGGTTGAACGACGTGAACAGAGTTTGTCCATCAATCTCGTGCGTTCTTGTCACGGTAAACCTTTCGAAGAAACCTCTGTATGGTCCTGGCGAGAAATTCGAGAGTGAGATGGCATTTGATCAGTTCTGGAAAGATCACGGCTTTGTCGGTCATTTTGAGATTAAGGCCCGTGACTGGAAATCTGGTGAAAAAAGCGTATTCGGACAAGCTGTCAACTGTCTTATTGAGAAGATTTTATGAAAAAACTTGGATGTAGTGGAATTACGAATACAGAATGCAATTTATCTCTTTATAACAACTGAAATAGTGGAATTATTCTTGTACATAAGGAAACCTGGTGGCCTTTTGTTACTGGTGGTTAAGATATCGACGTCGTCCTTGCCATTACGTCGTTTCTTTCTACAAGTAGAGATTTTTGAAAACGCCGGCTTTTCGTTTACGTGTGGACGACGATGATTTCATGCATCAAAACTACATCATTTAAATACATCATAGCAAGACGCATGCTCAGTCAATAAGGTATGCTATCGTATTTCCATCGTTTTCGTGTGGACGGGCGAAAACGATTCGAATACGCTCCGTTTTCAAAACAACAACTTTGCAGGTGCATCACGCTTTTTTGAACATTTTGTTGCCGTCGTTGAACGACTACGACGTGAAACTTCCCAGTTTCGCCTTTTATGGAGGACGTGAACTCAAGACAACGATTTTCTCAAGTTTTCTTTT